CATCATTGCATCCACCTCTAGGACGTCCAGAGCAGCTGCTGCAGGAAATGGTGTTTGCAGGCTTCCTTGTTTTGTGGTTTGGAGCTCAGAGTAGTGGCTGTGTGGTGTGGGGCTGCTACCTTGGATATGGTTTTTATTACAAGCTGACTGTGAGATCAGAATGAATGAGGGAGACCTTTTCTTTCAAGAGGTACATAGAAACCTTACTAATGCTTTCACAGGAATGCAAAGGGGATATGAGATGTAACTGGTTGAAGACGAAACTCAGTCCAACTGGTTTTGGACCGAGTTTTGAGTCTTTGGGGCCAAAATGGCATTTAAAAATTCATCTACTCATCGTTGATTCATTCATCCATCCGGCCATCTGCCTTCCCATCCATTCTCCATCCACCCATCCTCCAACCCACCATTCATTCATCCACCTACCACTCATCCATCTACCCACCCACCAACCATGCATCCCCCTACTCATTCATCCATTTATCCATCCACCTCCCATTCATCCATCTACCCTTTCTTCCATCAATCCCCCATTCAGCCATCTACCTACCAACCCTGCATCCACCTACCCATTCATCCATTTATCTATCTACCCACCATGTATCCATCCACTCATTCCCTCATCTATCCATCCACCCACTTTCCATCCATCTAATCTTGTTCAAGCAGCTGCAGCATGCGGGGCCATGCTCAGCACTGTAAAGGTGATGATTAACAGTTCAGTCATAGTCCCTGTCCCAAATGGACTCCCATTTACTGCAGTTTGTACCCAGGGATGTGGAGGAAATCCTGGTCTCCAAATCAGAGTGACTCTAGTCTGCTGAACCTCAAATGTAAAGTCTTGTTTTTGAAAGAACCATGTATCAAACCAGCCTGACTTTCTCAAACAGTTGGGGAACTAGGAGATACAGGTATCAGAGCTTCTAAAATACTGATCTGGGGCATAAAAGTATGTGCTAAAGTAAACTGAACCCTTGAATCCCTGTTTCTTTCAGCTAGCAAACAAGTTGCTGCCGGTATATGCTCTTAGAAATGGAAAGGGTACAGAGTCCTGGTGTTGAGAGAGGGGGTGGATGGGTGAGTCTCTTGAGTCCTCTCAGACTCTCAGATTAACAAACTTTGTGCCAGGCCCAATGCTGGGCATCTGGCTATTTGAATCTTGAATTTACCATTCGCAATCTGTGTGGCCTGGTTGAGTTTCTTACCTACCTGAGCCTCGGTTTTCTCTTCTGTCAAATGGAGCTAATAAGGGCTCTCTTGTAGGACTTTGGTGGAATAAATAAGAAAATGAATGTGAAGGTGCCTGGTACATTTTAGTTGTTCAATATGTGCTCATTTTCTCCTGATAAATATTTGATTCTGACTTAGTTATTTTTGAAAACATTTAGGTTCAGGTCTGGTTGGGATATCCAGGGTAAATTGGATTAAGGATGCCTTTCAGTTAACAACAACAAAAAAGTGCTTCCTGGGCTTGATTCCATTAGGGTTTCAGCAGATGAACACAGATTGTTCCAGCTTTTGGGACCTGGTTTGCTCTTACACAAGGGCTGAGGTGGTGAAGGGTCTGATAACACTGCTAGCTTAGAACTCTTGGTTCAGTGGAGGTGGGAGAGCTTCTCTCTCTCACTGGCAAAAAGAGCTGTGATTCTGCTGTAGGAGCCTGACTCAGCAGAAGCTCGGAGGCTGGCATGGGCCTGGCCTGGGTCACTGGGTGGATGGGACATGTCACAGAGCATGTTATTTCTTGGCTCTGTGGACTGGCAGCTCAAGAGCCAGTGGTAATTATGTCTGCTGGTGAGGGACAACAGCACAGGGGGAGCATGACAGCATCTTCCAGGGAGGGGGCAGGTGCTGGGTACAGATGCTGCCAAGAGACTTCTTTCTGGGGTAATTTGGTGGGGGTGGGGGGAGTGTCAGCAGCAGGCCCTCAGCTTTGTTCCTTGGCCAATGAAGAGCCTGTTTTTGAGAATGGGGTTGATCAGGGCCTTGGACTTGTTGTACAAAGAGCATGTTCTTTACAGAAAAGCAGCACCTAGGGTCTAATGCGGGAAGCCTGGTTTTGTGTTTTGCTTCAGTTCTTTTAGAAGTAGAGCCAACCCAGGGTCTCTTATGGCATGGATGAGGCTATTGGGCACTTCCTTGGAGGTACCTGGAGCAGGGAAGGAGCCAGGAATGAAGTCAGAATGTCTAGGCTCTAATTTAGGTCCCAACCCCCTGTCTTGTGTGCATTGGGCAGCTTACCTGGCCTCCCTCAGTCTTCTCATCTGTAAAATAGGCTGAGAGTACACAGAAGATGATTGTGAACATTTTGAGATACCTCACAGAAAGTGTTCCACACGGTAATTCCCTTTCCTTCTCTTAGAGTGGAGCCCTGTTTGTGTCCAAGGTTAGAGAGGAGAAAGAGGGCTGGGCAGAAGGAGAGGTTAGTGCTGCCTGTGGCCCTGCAGCCACCGAAAGGTCAGGACTGGTCTTGTATCTTACCAGGTTGGGAAAAGCTGGCAGAGGAGCCCCCAGGCAGCTAGAGCTCACGCAAGCAGCAGTGGTCCCAGACTGGCCTACTGGGGGCCTGGAGGGTGGTTCAGCCTCAGCTCCCTGGGATCTTGTGCAAGGTAGTTCATCTTCTGGAGCTCAGTGTCCTCATCTACAGAGGGTGGGGGGCAGTCAGTGGTTTCATCCCTGCTCCACCACGATGTTACTGTGAGGCCAGATGGGACGGTGGATGTGATAGTTCAGCTTCTGAAAGAGTAATGCAGGCTGGGCACGGTGGCTCACGCCTGTAATCCCAGCACTTTGGGAGGCCAATGTGGGCAGATCACTTGAGGTGAGGAGTTCAAGACCATCCTGGCCAATATGGTGAAAACCCCATGTCTACTAGAAATACAAAAAAATTACCTGGGCATAGTGGTGGGTGCCTGTAATCCCAGCTACTCAGGAGGCTGAGACAGGAAAATCTCTTGATCCCAGGAGGCGGAGGTTGCAGTAAGCCAAGATTGCACCACTACATTCCAGCCTGGGTGACAGAGGTAGTCTCTGTCTCAAAAAAAAAAAAAAAAGGCAATGCATGTTGTGTGCATAAGGCTGGATATTTGACCAAGTGTATCCCTTTCCTTAGGTTTCTCATAGGCCAGCCTGCCTGGGGAAAATAGAGGTTTCCTCACAGGCATTTTTGGGATATCTCATATTTGCTTCATGGATACTTGGTCAAAGACCAGAAGTGTGTCATGCTCTCAGTACTGAGCTGTTGGGTAATGGGTATATGGGGACTACCACTTGTTTCTTTGGCTTCTCCTCTTCTGACCTGCTAGAGGACTTGCAGTGAATGTTCTTTAGTCTAGGAGGGGCTATCCTAGGAGATCAGCCAGAAGGACAAAGGCTAGGAGCAGGACAACTACATGAGCGCTAGGATTAAATCCTGGGATTAAGTGCATGGATTAAACAGAGCAGTGTGTCCGCAGCAGTGGGCAGCCTTGGGGTGGTTGTGGGGGTTATGGCAGCGAGCACTAGGCAAGGAGAAACTAGAGAATATTCTGCCATTATTCTAAGAACAGTGAGGAAGAGACGGTGAGAAGATTTAGTGTTCATGTACGACTTTAAGGGTCACAAGTGCATTCACATCTGTTACTGCATTTGATCTAGAGGATTTTCTAATGAAAGCAAGATTCTGAAGCCACTTCAATGGTGGAAGGGAAAGAATATGGTTGGTACTAGGTCAGAGCTACTGCCAGAGCGTGGGGCTGCACCATGTGGCCTGAGGGCAGTGAGCCAGGGAGGAGGGAGCAGGACAGCTGTGGGCTGTGGGAGGGAACTGATGCTCTCATAGTGTCTGAGGCCCTGGCCTTTGAAGCTGCCCCTGGCCCCTGAGCTGCACATGAATTCTGTTCTGCTGTGGCTCACCCACCAGCCCCCATGCCTGCCTTTTTTCTGTCCCATTTCCCCCATCCTGCCCTGTTGCCATGGTTACACACACAGGCGCTGCCCAGCAACCACCAGGAATATTTCACTGCAGTCCTGCCCCAAAGCCATAGTAACTGCTCAGCCCACTTTGGCTTCTGGCTGGGGAATCATGCCCCTCTCCTGCACGGGTCCCAGTTCACACAAGTCCTTAGGACCCCCAAAGAGCCTTCCTGGCTGTCCGCCTGTTGACGCCCTGTCACCAGCCTGAGGATTTGCGCTGCTGCTGGTGCTGGGATGATCCTCTCTTCTGCTCCTTTTCTTCTGACCTAATTAACACCCAGTTCTGAAAATCTACCCCTCCCTCTGCCAGACACACATTCAGACGCTGTTCTCTTAAAGGTCAAGGTCTGAGGTGGACAGAAGAAAGTTTCCACTCCAGGCCCAGAATGTTTCTTGAGTGTGACGCTCTGCAAAGGCAGGTTGAGTCAAGTTCTGTGTATGAGGCTGTGCCTGGGGCCAAGAGTCTAGCCATGAGCAAGAACTGGTGAACCAGACGGGGGTGTGTGGGCCGAGGTGTGGGCCAGGTTGCAGGAGCACAGGAGAGGCCTGACCTCTCCTGGTGAGATGGTGCTATAGGAAGGTGGCCCTGAATGAAGTTTTAAGGAGCTAGAAGGTGTCCTGGTTGACAGAGGGAGCTGCAGCGTGACCGAAGATGGGCCAGTGACTGTAGGGACCAGCAAGCGGTTCCCTGTCACTGGAGAGAAGCAGACCAGTTAGGCGGCCACAGAAAGGACTTTAGACTTTATCCCGACGGCTCACTGCTCACTATCCCCTGAACAAAACTGGTCTGCATGGGCAGGCAGGTGGATCCCCAGACCCTGGTTTTGCCCAGCCAAGCTTCTTCCCACCCCTGCAGACCGCCTGGCCTCACCGACTTCCATCATAGCCTCTCCCTCCCACCCAAATTCCAGGTCAGCTTCCACTTGGGGATGCGCATCCTATACTGCTGCTCCTTCCTGGTCTCCCCACGGCAGGGCCTGCATGTCCCCATCCTCTCACTCCCTAGCCACTCTGGCCTGGTGGAGGCCGCCCCTGTGGTTCCCCACCCTGTGTAGCTGGAGCTGGGGAGCTGCTGGAGGTGGGGGAGTGGGGCGGTTCATCACTGGGGATAGAACGAGGGCTGTATTCCTGCTTGGCTCAGGGAACTAGCTCCTGCCAAGCCTCTCCCTAGAATTGCTTCCCTCTTCCTGTTGGTGGCTGTGTGGGTGGACTTCACTGGAAGGAGGGGGATTTCTTGGCACCTTCTTTCTCCACTCCTCTCCTTCAACCCTTTGGAGCTCCTGACTGGCTCCTGTTCCGCAGGCTGACTCCAGTGCTCAGCCTTGCCGGGATTTCCAGGCATCTCAGAACCTCTCCTGGGCCATCTGAGTCCATTGGGAGCCTGGGCGGCACTCACCAACTGTGGCAGCGGGGCAGCCATCAGAACCCCTGGCCACCAGTCTCTCAGTGACTGAGCTGTCCCCCCAGGGTGAGTCACCTCCTTGGGTCTTGGAGGTGTTTTGGCTTCCAGAGGCCTCTGGGAGGACACACTCCAGCCTTGCACTGCAGGACACACCCAGAGCCTGTGGTCTGGAGGCCTCAGGGGCTTGGGCTTCTGCCACCAGCCCCTTACTGGGAGGAGGGGAGAGCAGTCCTGCCCAAGGCTGTGAGGCCCACTTGGTGCACTGGAGGGGTGGGGTGATTCTGATGAGGGAGACCTGGATTTTTAGGGCTGGCAGCTCCTTTTTATTCTGTCAGGAAGGCTGAATTCTCGGTCTTGAGGTCCTATGTGGGGAAGCAGAGGAGGCCAAGTCCCATTGCACAGAAGGAGGCTTAGACAGAGGGAGGGAGATGCAGGAGAGAGCCCCATTTGGCAGAGGGGAGGGGGCAGGAGAAGGAAGGATGCTGGGGGCAGCCAGCAGCAGCATCTGCCCAGAGCCCAGCTCTGCCCAGCTCTGGCACAGGCTTTGGAGTCGGGGAGGGGATGTTACTGTTTCTGGGCCCAGAGCATCCTCTGCCTAGTCCCTGCCCCGTGGCTACTCAGAGACCCCTGCAGCTATCTCTCCCTTTCCACCCTGTCTCTTTTGCCTCCAGGGTATGGAGGTGGGCAGGGGGGTAGGACCAGCTGCACAGACTGAAGAACAAAAGGATCCTACATACTTGATGGAGGGCTTCTGGCTTGGTGATGAGGAGCTCCCCTCTTGGAATTAGACAGAATTACCCACTCATATAGCACATTTCCCTCTCCTCCCCTCACCCCTAGCAGCCATCTGGCATCTCTGAGCTACTGACATCCCTGGTGCTGGATGCCAAGAGCAGAGTTCTTGAATGTGGAGAAGCTCTTTCTGGGGAGGGATGGAGGAGAGTTTCTGTGGTTGGAAGGAGCCAGGAGAGGGTCTGGACTGGACACAGGTGAAGGAAAAGGGGACTCTGGGAATGTCCTTGTCAAAGGGACTTAAGAGGCTGAAGCAGAAGAGAAGAGGGCACTGGGGGCCACAGCCCAAGCTCCCCACAGAGCCACCTACCCAGTCCAGGCACTTTCACATCTTAGCCGAAACTCTTGCTGTAATTCTGAGAATTGCAAACTCACCAGGGACTGTTCCATAAAATGACTGGCTTGTGCTCAAAAATGCCGGTGTCATGAGAGGGAAAGGTGGAGGGCCTCCTCCAGATGAAGGGGATTAAAGAGACATGGCACCTGAATACAAGGTATGATCCTGGACTGGATCCTGAAATGAGAAAAAGTAACCAACTGTAAAGGACAATAATAATTATAGAGAGAGGTCCATTGAGGAAGAGTTTTCGGTTATGATACTATTCTTGCAACTTTTCTGTTGGCGTGAAATTTTGCAGAATAACAAATTGAATATCAGAAGCTTGACCCCTCAGAACTGCTCCTTCACCCAACCTGGTCTAAGGGTGGAGGAGTTTCTCCCTTGGAGAGGGCCTTTGTGGAGATGGGAAAAGGCCGTTTCTGGCCTGGGGTAGTGGCAAAAGGTGATAGTGGCTGGGCCAGCAAGGCTAGGCCCCTTGAATTCAGACACCTGCTTATCTTCTGTCCTCCTCTTTCTCAAACAATGTCCCACCCACAGGCAACTCGAGATGTGGTGCTGAGCCGGGTGCCAGAGCAGGAGGAGGAGCGGACAGTGAGCCTGAAGAATGCTGCAGCCATCTACGACCTCCTGAGCATCACCCTGGGCAGAAGGGGACAGTACATCATGCTCTCGGAGGTAGGGCCAGCCATGCAGCCCACCCCACTCCCTGGAGTGAGGCAGTCTGTAAAGGCAATCAGACGGAGCCATTGGTCCCTTCTCCACCTGTCACTCCCCTGCCAGGCTGCTCTGCTGCTTTGACCTTGGCAAGCTGTCAAGTCTGAATTCCTCATCTGTGAAATATGGGTAGAGAACCCACCTCACAAGGTTGCTGGGAAGAGTGCGTGTGAAAAGCTGAGAACAGTGCCGTGCGCAGTAATAATAAACGTTCACTGCTATTTTTATTGCCTGTCTACATTTTGAAAGCCCTTTCACAAATCTTCAATTTGCTCTTTGCCATCACCCTGTGAGATCATTCACATGTTAAGGAGGGGAACTGAGGTCCTGAGAGGGTGAGAGACTTGAGCAGGGTCACACAGCATGCCAGGGGCAGGAACTGGGTTTCTGCAGGGTGTCTCACGGGAGCCAGGTGCGGGCCTCCTGCAGCCTCCCAAGGGCGCTGACTTGGGCAGTGACTACCCTGGAAGGGTACAGATGGCTGGGGTGGGAGGACCCCTGGTGGGCAAGTGCTGACTGTCTCCCCTCCCCAGTGCCTGGAGCGAGCCATGAAGTTTGCGTTTGGAGAATTTCACCTTTGGTACCAAGTGGCCCTTTCCATGGTGGCTTGTGGGAAGGTAAGGTCCAGGGGGTGCTAGGGGCTGCACACTCACCCTCAGGGGGCTCTGCTGAGGTGGATGGAGGGGATTTTCTGGCCAGGGGAGAGGGTGGGCATTATTCTGCAGCTGATTTGAACCTCTGGGAGAGTGAGGGGCGTGGGGTGGGCCACAAAGACACCTTGTGTGAATTCCTGTCCACGTGCAAGCCATGAGTGTGCCGGTGTGCAGAGTCTGTGGATGCTTTTCTCTGAGCATATATACATGCACAGGAACACTGTAGCCTTTTTGCTGGAGAGCTGATGATGTGACTGCATGTGGCGGACACAGGGTGGATCCAGGTGAGGGAACATTGTCCCTCTTGGACTGTAGCTCTCATCCTGTCCATCGAGCATGGTATCAGGAAAGGACTTGCTCGTGGACTGGAGACTTGCCTTGGAGGGGAAGGTTAAAAGGTGGAGCAGAGCAGCAGCACCCACAAGGGAGTTTGAGGGGGTACTGCATGACACATGTGGCCGGGGGCACCTGGGTAGAGACAGTGCCTGGCGGGACACTGGCCAGAGCAAGGAGGGGCCTGAGTTCACTCTCTATCCACGCAGCTCTAGTACCGTCACCCCTGCTTTTTCCTCCGATCAGAATTACACTTACATAAGCCTCTATTTTAAGCAGTGACATGAAAGGAAAACCTTTCTGGAGCTGGGTACTGAGGATGTTGGGGCTGAGGATGCTACGAATGCAGGAAATAAGGTGGCATGAGCTTGCAGATTGTTCCAGGAGCTGTAAATACCCAGAGCCCTTTCATGGGGCTGAGGGAATTCCTCGCCCCCCTGGCCCATCTGTGCCACATTCCATTTCTGGCCCCGCTGCTGTCTCTGAGGAGGGCCCTTCCAGCTTGCCAGTGCCTCCTCCACGCATGGAGGGTGTGCCAGCTAGCTCGGGGCCTCAGCAGCCGAGGCAGGCCAGGTCTTGGCAGGGAGGGGGAAGAGGAGCAGGTGCTGCACCCTGGCCTCGGGAAGAGGCTTGCCGGGGAGACTTCCCCGCCCCCAACCTGCTGGGGGCATGTCTTCCCAAACCTCCCCCCACTTCCCCATCGCATCAGACACCCCACAGAGCGTCTTGAAGTCACAGCATGATCTCCTTGGCTCTGTGCTCAGCAGGGTCTTGTCAAGACTCACGGAGATTCACAACACAGGCCAGGCCCTGGCCCTCCAAGTGTTAGGGAGTGAGAGAAACCCTTCTACAGAACTGCAGGCAAAGGAGACAATGTGGGCAATGGTGGAGGGGCTGGAAAGATGAGCCAGCAGTGGGGATGGGTACAGGAGGGTGTTGAAGGCACCGGTCTGCCTGGGCTAGTAGGACAGGGTGGGGAGGAGGTGAGGCTGAAGCTTCCATGGAGCCTGGGCAGACAGCTCACAGTGGCATAGGCAGTTTCTTCCTACCTCTGGGAAACAGAAAGCCCATCTAATCTTGGGACAGTGAGTATGGGCAGGAGAGGCCTAGGACCAGGACAGTGGTTCATACCCTTCTGTGGGTCATGGACCCCTTTCAGGAGCTAAGGAAAGCTGAGGCCACTGCTCAGAAAAATTCAGTGCACATGCAAGTTAGCTTTAAATCCTAGAGGGGCTCTTAGAAGCTCTCCAGGCTCAGTCGAAGGTGTTATGGTAGCCTGGGAGGTAAGGAGTCTTCTGCCCCTGACTAGCTAGACTCAGAGAGGTCCAGACCAGCCTGCCACCATCCCAGCATCCAGGGAACTGGTTTCTGGGCTTTGCTCCTTCACAGACCAGCAGGGTTGCCCTGGGAATGGGCTTGCATCAGGGACTTGAGATTGGCCAGTCCTTCATACATGAGGCTCCACAGGCTGGAGATGCTGTGCGTTCGGTGCAACCGGAGATTGTTCTGGAAAGCACTCTCTACCCTCCTTGGGAACCGTGCCCACCAAATCAGTCTGTCTGATTGTCCCAGGCATCCCTCAGGAGTGGCCAGACCTTGCCTTTGCTGAAAGCCTAAGGCGGAATCAAGGGTGTGTATCTGTGATTGTGCCTGAAAGGCCTTCCAGAAGGTGAATCTGGGCAATATAAATATATCTAACACTTCAACCTGCAGGAATAATGGATGAGTTCCGTGGCATGATTTAGGTCGTTCCTTCTCTTGGTCTCTGTGCTGCAATTGCATTGCCTGTGTTGCTAGGTAACCATCATGACAGGAAAAAAAAAAAAAGCTGCTGCTCCGGCTGCTGAGTTCTCAGATGGCTCCTTAAATAGCAGTGTTTTTTGGTGTGCATGCGGGTAGGGTGGAATGTGGAGGGTCAGGGTTAGAGAACCCTGTATGGCAAGGATCCAGTCAGTAGCTGTGAGAAGGAGGCCGAGGAGAAGCCTGAGGCTTGCTGGGGTGTGGATGGAGGGGCCTTGGGAAGGGACTTGGAGTGGTGTT